CCCCAAGGAAGGTCGTTCCAAACGGGGAGGGGAGGCGGGGCCTCCACATCATCGTGATCCACTCGAGCCAGGAGCCTAATTCCTAGGCGCAAACCCCAACCAAACAACAGGGGAGCCCCCAAAAACCCCGGAAAGCCCATCCCGAAACGGGGGAAAAAGGGGGGGGGACCCAGGGAGCCGCCCCGGAAAGGGAAGAACCAAACAAGGGAGCCAAGGCGCACCCCGGACCAGCCCAAGCGCGCCAATTTTTCTCGCCTGGTACAGGTCTAGGCCTGTGCTGTGCCCAGGGGGGGATATCAGCGCCCTCGGCAGCTGTCCCCCCCGGGGTGCGCTGCGAGTCCGTTCCGGATGGCCGCAGTGCTGTATGATCATACGGCCCCCTTTGCAATGTCATCAATGCGCTTGAGCGCCGCCGCCTCCGGATTCCGGAGAATCAGCTCCCAGATGGCGTTTGAAACGTGGCCGGTCTGGGTGACGTGGCTGAACCTAGGACTTTCTGGTCCACCACGGAGACATCCCGCAGCGGGGCCGAGGGCTCTACCCGGCGGTAGAACTCCAACCGCTCCTTGACCCAGCGGTTGTACAGGCCCTCCGGCGGCTCGTCCAGCACCAGCTGAAGGATGGCCTTGCCGGCCCGGATCTGGAGGAGGCGGGTGCCCCCTCCCCCGGCGCGCCAGTACCCCTTGCAGTACTTGCACATGTAGCCCCCCCGGGTCTCCCCTTTGGTCTTCGGGATGAGTTCCCACGGGGTGACGGAGCTCAGGACCAGGCCACACTCCATGTGCGCCCAGAAGACATGCTTCGTCTCCGCCGGATAGTTCTTCTTCCGGTAGTCCTTGCCCACCACGCCGTGGACGTTGTCCGATGTGATGGGGGGGTAAACGATCCCCTCATCGCCCTCTCCTCCCCTGGGGCGGATGTCAGGGCCATCGGCACCTGTCCGGCACCCAGGGGCGGAGGGGTCAAGGCCCATCAGCTTGATCATGTCGTTGGTGTAGCCGAGCTTGCGGTAGATGGAGGGGGCTACTGAGTCGGGGACTGCGCCGACCCACCACTGCTTCGTGTTGCAGCGCCAGTTGACCTTCACCTCCGCCAGGGCCCCCGGGCCTCCAATGCGGTCCATGAGGGCCTTGTACACCTCTGGGAACTGCTGGAGACTCTCCACCGGGACAGATATGCGCTCATCACATACCGCCCGGAGGATCATCTGTTCCTTGGAGTCCGCCACGTCCTGGACCGGGAGCTGCATCACCTCCGCCGGGGTGTCCGTGAGGAAGGCCCGGGCCGCGAGGACCTTGCCCATGGCCCGGTAGACCAACCGCCACTCCGGTCCTGTCTGCGGAAACGGAAGGCCCTCCTCCTTCAGGAAGCACCGCGCGTCTTCCTTCAGGGTCTCCCAGCCCTCCAGGCGGATCTGATTCTGGGCCTTGTTCTTCGGGCCCCGCTGCCTAGGGCCCTGTAACAGTGGCAGGGACTCCCAGACTCCCCAGAGCTGGCGCAGGGTGAAGCTGTGACCAAACATCCCCAGTAAGCCTGGAAGTGTCCAGGACGAGATCTGGCGCGCCCAGTGGAAGTCCTCATCCGGATCGTGGGGGGCCGCCCAGAAGATGGAACGCAGGTCCTCGGGGTAGGGTCGGTCCCCCGCCTTAGCCTGCTGGTTCAACTCATCAACGGAGTACCTGGCCCATGGGAGTCCACCCACCTGGTGGTTCCTGGGGTGCGTACCCCTCTCCAGCGCCTCCGGATTCACCTTGGTGAGGTTGTTGGCCCAGTCCGGGACGTGTACGGGGCCCGGTCGTCGGACCCAGCGGCCCGCAAAGATACGGACCTCTCCGACCCGTTTGCTCATCATCCAGCGCAGGACCGCGAGCTGCACCTCCGGGTCCTGGGTATCCAGGCCCCCTGGGGTGGCAGACGGCTTGTCAGGGCCCTCGGCACCTGAGCTCGTCGCGCCAGAGCCCGAGGCTGGGGGGATGGTGGGCTGCCTGTCAGGGCCCTCGGCACCTGGGCGCGCCGCACCAGAGCCCCCCGCCTTTGGAATGGGGATCCCCGCCAGATCCGGCAGATCTGCCAGGAGGGCCGCCGGAAAGGGGTTCCTGCCCAGCGAGATGACCGCCTTGGCTTCGAGGTAAGAGTCCGTGAGGGACGTGAGGTCGTCCATGCTGAAATCCCTCCATGCCGTGGTCGGCTCAAAGACCCCCGTCTCAATGGCAACTCGGACCTCGTTAGGCCATGCACTGAATGGGGGCTTGATGGGCTCAAGCGCTTGTCTGGCCTGGTGCTTTGCCTTCGCCTCCTCCGCAGTGGTCTGGGCCTGGAGGAGCTCTGGTGTGGGCCTCCCCCAGTCCGCGCCCAGCTTATCCAGCAGTTTTTCCCGGAAAAGGTCCAAGTCCAAATTCTTGAGGAGTAGGCCCCCATCGCCTCCTCCATCAATGGCCCCTCCTTGAAGCTCGTGGAGGACCGCCGCGGATCGCTCCACCGCTGCCACCTGGTCTGCCTTCTTGGCCTCCTCCTGGGCAATGGTGGTGGCGTTGAGCCGGGTCTGGATTTTGAAAGCCTTCACCGCCGACGGGTGGAAGGCCCTGCATTCCTGGCCCTCTTCCTTGTCGCCCGGCAATGGAGGCCTCTCCCCCATTGGGGCCGTCAGGAAATCCTCGTCCAGCTCCATGGGGCAGTTTCTGATCACCGCCCGGACCGAGGAGGGGACAAAGTCCGAGAAGCTTGCCTGGTCCGGGTTCTCGCATGCCATCGGGTCGGTGGCCAGCTCGCTGACATCCACCGAGGCGCTGAGCTTGAGGTCGCGGGCCCGGTCCGTGTCAGGGCCATCGGCACCTGCGGACCGAGCCGTCCAGACCGCATTGCCCTGGTCATCCACCGTCAACTGCCAGTGCGTGCCCGCCATCTCCAGGGTGGCCGAGTTGGTCGCCATGTCAATGGGCTCCGTCTTCTTGCCGCACCCCATACACTTCCTGGCGCCCTTCTTCACCCAGGGCATGGTGCAGCAGGGGCAGATCCAGGATGTGGGCTCCTTACCCAGGGGGCGGTTCTCCAGGCCCCCATACCCCAGGCCAGCGCGCTTGCCGACCTGCTGTCCCGGGGTGCTGAGCCGGGCCTCATGCTCATACTTCATCTTGGCGATGTAGAACGCCTCCACCACACGCTCCAGGCCCCCCTGCTTGAGTTGGGGGCCCTCAAAGCCTCTCAGGAGCCGCTGGACGTCCTTGGCCTGCAGTCGGCGGAGCCTAGTGGCCGTGGTCGCATCAAAACACGGGAAGTCGCCCGCCATCTGGTCATCGCTGAATTGGTAAAGGCCCTCAGAGACTTTGAGGGCCTTGGTGAAGACGCTTCCCCCCGGCGGGGGGGCTGCGGGGTCCTCATCCTCCTCCGAGGACGCCTGCTCCCTGACCTTCGCCATCAGATCACGGCGTCTCTGCCACTTGGTGTCGGACATCGGGAGCTCCTCCTCGTCTTCCGCCAGGAGTTCTTCCATGGGAACATCCTTCTCCGGCGGGTTTAGGAGCTCCAGGAACGCCCCTGCGGGGCGTGTCAGGGCCTTCGGCACCTGCGCCACCCCAGGGGCTGAGTCTGCCATCAACTCGTCCTCTGCCTTGCGCTTGGCTGGGATGAGTGGGGCCTGCTCCAGCTCATCGGCGCTGGAGAAGAACCGCTCGTCAGGTGCCTGGGGGACCTCAGCAGCCAAGACGGTCCATCCTTCTTCCTCCTTCTTCACGAGGCTTGCCAGGTACTTCGCCATGGAGGCCTTTGCCTTCGCCTTGGCCTCTGCAACCGCGGCACCAGCGTAGGCGGGGGCGTACATGGCTTTGATAGGAGGGGAAAGAAAGATTTCAGATTACAAGACAGAAGGTCAGAGTCCACTTGAGCCAAAATGGTGGCCCAAGTGGACACTTATGAAGAGTCAAGACAAGCGACCACCTGCGGTTAACGCTTTAGCCCAAAAGCCCTGAATCACAAAAAAAACAATTATGGTGGGTCTTGAAGCTCTGAAGCTTGAAAGGATTGCCTTTTTTGGACCTTGCAGCTTTGTGGCACTTCCAAGCCGGCCTCAAACTACTGCAAGTCCTAAAACACTTTCAAGCCTCGTGAGACCCAACATAATTCGAGCTTTTGTTTTTGGACCTTACAGCGCGTTGGAGCTGTAGGTTTGATTTTGTTGGGGCCTTACAGCACTGCTTGGAAGCTCGGTGCAGCTGTAGAACCTTTCTTTGATACCTTCCATCAGCTTCATATGTCTCATCATTGCAAATTTTGGCGGGGCTTGTAATCTTGAACATTTTGGCGGGGGCCACCCTCATTTTGGTGTTTGCTTGCTGAGTGTCATGCGTTGAGGCTCAAATCATGACAGAACAAGTGAAACATCATGTAAAACACAAGTGATCCAATGAAAAGTCCAAATAGCAATCTACTGCTTGACAGGCCAGTCCCTGTGCGCACTTGGGCTCGAAAGCCCCGGACAACCTCCGGGAGAGCGCGGCTGACATGAGGCGAAACAGATGAGAAAGTACCAGGAGAGAGCCAAAAAATGCATGACACGCATGTACTCGATAGTGAACGCCTATCACAAGGACCCTAAGGTTCCGCACGCATTGGGGGGGGGGGGGGGTGAGCATATGTGTGTATATATATATATATGCTTCTGTGTATATATATATATATACATATTTGTACAACCGTCTTGGGATCTCAATAAACAAAAACCCCTGCCTCCCCGAACCGGTCCACATTGTGCGAACCTGAGTGCAATTGTATGTGAACTGCTTTGCAGTTCAGAGCCATCTCTTAGAATGCGTTGAACGGGATCCATTTCTCTGTTTGCCTGGGCAAATGGACGCTGGGCTTTCTCCGGGTTTTCCGGGCCGGGCTCTCCACGTGGCTCGGGCACCGGGTCCTTCGACTTGCGGTCCGACGCCGCAGGGTTCACACCGCCCCCACGCTTGTCTTAGGGTCGGAAGAAATCCAAGGGTAACTCCTCATTCTTCCGCAAAGAAGCCCACCCAAAGAATCAGGACCCCACGCGCAGCGTGACTGGCACGCAGGCCCTTTCACTGAACGCCCCAACCCCTTGTGATTTTCGGACATCGAAGCCACGGGCCCGGACCCGTGGCATCTCATGCCTTCGGGCGATGAATGACCTCGGGAAAAGGCCCACCGTCGTTTCGTTTCGTTTTTTTTTTTCCCCCCTTTTTTTTCCGAGTTTTGGGTTGAATCCAATGAGAGACCCTTTAAGTATGTCCCACGACTTGTCCTCAATTGAACCTGCAGAGCCAGAATTGACTGTTACATGTGGCAACAGTGCACTGGTGTCTTCGGTACCAAACCCCAAACAAGCTCAACAAACAAAGAACCTCCTGTGTCCAGGTGCAAAAAGGGCCCTCTTCTGGGAAGAAATCTTGAAGGGAAACAGGGAAACTTGTTCTAGAGGGTTTGGATGAAAGGTCTTGGCTGGGTTCGGCACCAAGCGGCCGGTTTCTATGCGGAAACCAGGCCTTTGCAGCCTTTCAACACATGGTTGCTTTTTCGCAGGCGGGGCGCCCCCCGACTCAACAGCCAATCATCGTCTCAGGCGTTTGGCCCCAAACCTCCTTTCGGGCTAGGCCGAGAGTGACCGTAGTGGAAACCGTATGGCTAAGGCTCCCGCAGGGTGCCACGGAACCCCTTAGGCAAACGGAAAAGGAAGAAAACCCATGCAAAAGTTAAACAGCCATTTCCCAAATTGCCGTTGAACCCAAAGAAGGAAATTCCCCAAAAAGGAGCCGTCTTGGGAGTGGGGAGGCATGTTGATTGGAGACTGGCATCTTTCAATTCGAGTACAAAAAGCGCCGTAGCGAACACGGAACCCTGAACTATGCACTTGTAGCTCTTAGCTATCTACCTGCCGCTGATCTCTGTGCGCGGGTTTGTCTAAACAGCCCAAATGAAACGAGGGTGCCAACCCCCCATGTCCTTCCCAAATGCTTGACACTTTGGCCTAACCTGGTGTGGTCGGCGAAACGGCAACAGTCCAGGGCAAAAAGAAGCAACACCATCACTACACCATCTGGGCGCGTCTTTGCTTCAACGTTTTGACAGGAACCAGAAGGACAGCCGCCATTTGGGGATTCGATTGCCCTGTTTTAAGACACATCCGTCTCCCAGAGCCAAGTTGCATAAGCCACGTGCACCCTGCCCGGCGTGGACGGCCTGCGACGTAGCGAAACGAGCGTGACCAACTGCATATCAACGTGGCGAGAAAGGTACCTGTTTGGCTCCCAAAAGCAAAACACACACACACAGAAAGCCGATGACAGTCAGGCATCTGCAAAGGGTTCGGATCAAGAAGTTCGGGTTTTGGCGAAAGACGAAGGTGATGTTTAAACTCAGCTAAAAAGGGGTGGAGCACAAGGGAACCCTGAAGAATCCATTGTCACAAGGCGAGGTTGTCCCCCGGCAACAAGTTGTGCCAACCAGAAACCGAAGGAATTAAGTCGAACCAACGGTGTCCCTTCGATAAATGATTCTTGAGGCTTGGAGCAACCCAACGCTTCCCACTGTTGCTACTCCCGGAACCGAGGAAAAGGTAAAAGGAGGTTCTTCCAATCTAGATATAAAACGGCTCGTTTTGCTTCCACGCAACTCTGCAAGGAAGTAAATTGCAGGCCTAAGTGCCAAACAAGCCATCCGCAAGCTGGGATGGATGAAGCCCAACTGGGATAAACCACCCCTCCAAAGTGCTGCAAAGTGGATGTTGTCTATCAGTAGTTTGGGGCATCCGTAGACTATGGGAAGCCACAACCTACGGGCTATGGAAAAAAATCATCAACCATAGAGTATATAATGTGCCCCAGAGGATGTCCAGGGAAAGGCAGAAACTGTTTGTCTGAGTGTAAAGAGTTCACCTCACTCCAAGAAACAAGAATAAAGGGCAACACTGAAGCGCTGGAAAGAAATCCCTGCTCAAATTATAGCCCCTGGTTCAAATGCGGGAGTTTGCTTTTCCACGTGGTAGAGGTTCTTTACCAGTGGCCAGCTGACGGCTGATGCGTGTTGCGTTCCGTTCAAACATCTCGCAGAGAAGAAAGCAACAAGCACATCTTGCTGAAACTGCTCCAAACTGCGAAGATCACGTCAGAAAAATGACCATCGCCTTTCCTTAAACTACACGGAACCCGGAAATAAACGCCCAAATGATATCTCCAAACACCCCAGAAGCCGTCGGGAACGACCCGCGCTCTTTCAGGAGGTCTGGTTTCCATTGAATCGATCGCCTGTGTCGAAAGCTGCTAGGCTCTTCCTTTGAGGATCGGAGCGGGCCTCCAGAACTACGGCAATCCACCGGAAGGCATGGAGGGGGAAGTGGGTGAAGCTTAACGCGGCCCCTCTGCTGGATCTTTACCATTGGCAGGTTAGCATAGGTTCTTCTTCAGCCAGCCACTAGAAAGCGACACCAAAACAGAAAGAAAACCACCGGAAACAATCCAAAAAGAACAAAACGTTTCGGGAAGCGTGCGCCTTTTTTGCACTTTTGAGTCCGCTTCTGCGTCAGCTTGGGCAGGGTCCTGCTTCTTGGGCTTGCCTCCTTTCTTGCCCTTGTTGGTTGCCTGGCTGGTGTACGTTGAAAATCTATGTTCTCGGGATTTTACAACATGGCCTGCTTTTTCGTTTGATCAACCTTAGTTCTCAGTGTGCCGTGGTCATCACTACTTTCGTCCGAGTTGCTGTTCATGCTCTCATGCACCTTGAGCTGAAACATGCCACTGATGTTGGTTTCCTCCTCAGCCACTTCTTCATCCTCCATGAGCACCAAATATGGGCGGAGGCCTTCGCGTTCAGAATGATCGCAGATTTCCCGCGCTGCCAGTTCTGGGTCCGAAGTCTTGCTGCCAGTTCTGGGTCCCATTGGTTTGCCTTTCAACCAGCCCAACAGACAGCTACGGAGCATCAAACAAGACACCCCCACGCCCAAATCAGCGGTGCCCAAACCGCTTTCACTTCCATTTTTTCGCACTAACATGGCTAAGGCTTTTCCAGAAGTTGCGTCATTCATCCCCAATGAAGCAACAAAACACGACATGAACATCCGACTCAAAAAACAACGACAACTGCTGGGTTTTTCGCCCACCTCAGCTGCATCCAGAACGGTCCCCCCGTTTCTTGCTTGACGTTGAAAAGGGGAGCAATAATTTAAACTTTAGCAGACAAGTCGATTTGGACTTCAACCACTCAACCACAATAAGCCAGATAAAAATGTAAAATGCTTCCCAACAACAACCATGATTGCTTTCTGCTCCCCTGCTAAAAGTTTTTGTATAACCTTTAGTGGTTTGATGGGAGAACCCCTTAGTTGCCAAACAGCTATTCAGTCCTAACATCCCTTGGCAAAATGCACCAAAGTTGCGGGTGACAAGAGAAACCTGCGGGTGGGACAACTCGTGGCTCCGGCTTGGATGGAAATCGAAGGAAACTACGGCCCATGAAGAACTTGGGTCGTCTTATCCCGTGATTCCTCGGCAAAATGCGCCACAGCTTTGGCGCTTTGGGCCCCAGCCGTACGGTCGGAGCTCGGTCCCGCCTGCTGCTGGCGGCGGTGCTCGCGCTGGCCGGGCGCCCGATGCGCCGGAGCTGGGTCTTCGGGCACATGGCCGGGGCGCGCGGCAAGAAGTTCACCTGGCAGCTCCGGGGGGGATTTTGCGTCCATTCTCTTTGAGGTTGTTGTGCTTGTTGTTAGTTGGTTGAGTGGGAGTTTGCATTGACACACAAAAGTCAAACTCTTAGCTTAGTTGTTGTTGTGGGCTTAGATATTTTTGGATTATTGGTTAGTTCCCCTCCCTGTTGGGTTTCAAGGGAATGAATATTTTTCCAGGGGACTTAAGCAAATTGAGGGCAGGGTTCTACCCGAAACCTGAAAGCGGTGTCAAACCCCAATCCAAAATGTCCGTCATCTGCTGCCCAAATAAGGAAGGAGCACCATGAACCAGTGGTTTCCTTCAAGGGAATCCCCAGGTTCGTTCCAGATCCCCTCTTCATTCCCTGGCGAATCCCGTTTGAGAGACCCGAAAATGGGTCACGAGGAAACCGGGACATGAACCCTTGTCATGAGGTTCCATTTGTTGGGAGTTCTCATGGTGAGAGACATCCCCCTGTTGGGTCGGTTCAAAGGAAACCAGATAGTTCGTCAACTGAGCATCCATTGACCACCCTGTCAACGTAGGCTACTAATCATTTTCAATCACCCCAACCGTCTAAGCACATGAGTGCGGGCTGCTTCAAGGATTGGTACCCTTTTGGGGTTGTTGTGAAGGGAGGCCCCGCGGAGACAAACTCATATTTGCCCTGAGAAGACAAACGAACAAGTGACGCACTCCCGATACCATAATTTTGATGAACCGGGGAGGGGAGACTATGCATCATGGGCAGCAATGCTAAACATGTGCTAACTCCATGAGATGATTCTCCCTCAGAATCGATCGTCCAGACCCAAGAAGTACGAAGCCCAGTGACTTGAGCGCCTCCGTCTCCGCGGGAAAAAAACAAAAACGAAAACCGCCGCCTCCGCCTCCGCCTCCGCCCCCGCCGGGTGTGCTTCGCGGGCGGTCGGGGCGCTCCGAGGGTGACTCGGAACCTGCGGCGAACGCTGACGTCTTTTTTCCGGTGGACCCCAGTTGCGTTTCGCAAGGTGCCCCCGCCTATGGATCCATTTAAGGAAAATAGGCAAAGGTTGCCATCCATTTGTATCATGTGTTGCTTTTAAAGGGTGGGTCCCTTGAACATCAAATTGCTTTCTGGACTAGCCATCCAGGAACTGACATCATTTCGCTTCGGACCCGTCACCAAGGGAACTTCAAAATAGGCTTGAACATTTCCCTTTCGACTTTCCAGTCTTGGGTGAACCAGCGAAACTGGGAGAAGTTTTCCTGTGAACCTCGTTTGTGCGAATCCGAATCCCAGATCCATCCTATTCCTATATGGTAGAGAGCTTTCGGTTGCGACTCGCCAAACAGCAACGAAGGGGCCACCTGGGTTGCACTTCGCCGGGAGCCGAACACGGATTACTGAGTTGCAACTGTTGATTTGGGCCAAAGATCGCAGCTGAGCTAGAGGATGCCCTAGCAAAGCAGATGGTTTTTTGGATGTATGCTTCCGAGGAAGCCTGCTTGAGACCCACCCGAAGAAAAGCCGAAGAATGGGGGGGCCCCGCTTGGGGCCCAATGGTCAACGAAGCCTCCGGCGCGCTCTGCGGCCGCAGCTCCTAGAAACATGGAAAGCAACGCTATCCCAGATCGCAGGCAAGCCACCCCAGTGCTTCCAGTTATCACTATAGTGGGGAACCAGGGATTTTTTGCCTCTTGGTTTAAATGATGGTTATCCTTGGTTACCTACTATAGTCTATAGTAGTAGCTGGGAGATCTGAGTAAAAAGGTAGCCCTTCAATCCATTTTCCTTTTGGTGGGTGGCAAGCCCTTGGTTACCTGCCATACTGGCTTGCCTGGAATCACTGGGCCATGCTTCGAGGCATCTCCTTGACCCCTTTTCTGGGTTCCATGTGAAAACAATCATGCGGACGTTGTTGCTTGTGGGATAGGGTTAAAACCCCAAGTAACCCGAAGCGTCCTTTTCTTGGCATGGCGGTTCACTAGGTCGCCTAATGTTCAGGCTGCCCAGATTGGTCCCCTAAGCAACACTCACCTTGTCAACAGATTCCCTTGACTAATTAAATGCATCTGGGTTGGACACAGTTGCGCAAACAAGTTCCACCCCAACACACACCTCAAGTTGACCCAGGTTCCGTGGGCCTGATCCGCTCGCAAGTAAAATCCAAGGCCCATGTGGGCCAATGGTGGGGGTCGACCAACTAGCCTACCAGCGGAATCTGACTGGATTGGTTGCCATCGTGGCCAGAGTGGGTTGCAGGTCACTTGTTGGGTTCCAGCTACCCTGCTGGTTTGATCCTAATTCGGAACGGCTGGAGGTTGCCCTACTCAATGTGTACTTCTCAAAAATGGATAATCCAGCTGGACTGGAAAAGCCAAACAAACCCAAGCTTAGGTTAGATTGCCACTATGGTCAAAGAAAAGTGCAAAGCCCAGAAAACTCAGGGTGAGTAGTTGATTTTGAACGGAACCCCGCTCGATCCGCTACTGTAACATCCTCGAAACTACCCTCTAAAGTGGAAATCCCTCCACGATCCAAAAGCAATTTAGCTTCTCTATGCCAAAAGGCGGGTCTGGCAAAACGTAGCTGTGGTTTTCCTCTTTACTTTTGCGGAGGGGGGGTCCGTTTTGGCTGTTGGTTTCGTGGCGTTCGTGCCACCCCAGGGCTCGCCACTCGAACTTGCTCCTTTGCGCGGGGCTTGGGACGCAGCACGTCCCCGCCTCGCGGATCCAATTCGAGTCGACTTGCGCCGCGAAATCAAAAAGGAAGAACTTAGGTCCTCCAGTAGAGGTTAGAATGGTACCCTTTTTTCTGTAGTCTATTTTTAGTAGGGGAACCCTCCCCAAAAAAGGGGTAAAAGGGCACTACTGGGGGACCTAGGAATGTTTAAACCAATGGCCATGGCAGAAAACTCCGGGAAGACACAAGTTGATGAGCTGATATCGGGGGGAGCGTCCATACTGTGGACAAAATCCGCTTCGCACCAGTTGGGATTGGTGGTTCAACCAACATTGACAGGGCTTCATCCTGCAACTGGTGCAGGATTTTGTGCCCATCCGATCCCAACAAGCAAAATGGGATTTACTACGACCACCAGAGATGGCCAGAGATGGCCAATAGCTTTGAGTGCTAAAGGATGACCCAGCTGCATGCCCTACTTACTTGTTGCTGCTATTGTGTTGTACACTTCGCTTCAGTCGTTCATGAAAAAACACAGACTGTGCTTCTTGGGGTCCATTTTTGTTTGCTTTTTTTGTTGGGGGGGGTTGACGATTCTTTACTGCTAAACCAAAAGCAAACAGGGTGAATCCGCATGGGGCCAGGAGGAAGTTGGCTTAAACCACGTGACCTCCGCAAGCAGAGAGGATTCCCTGTGACACCCTATTGATCAGAGGTCTATTTGCGCGCTCCCACTGAGTTCGTGGTTGTCAAACCCAGTTCAGCCCCTTGACACCAAAACATGAGACTGTGCTGCCAGGTTCCTAAATGTCTAGGGGTTGATGCCCCATTCTGTTGAAGGATACCTGGAAAGAGTGGGGAAGGTACCCCTAGAAAATGGTCGTTTTTCTATTGGCGTCTTGAAACAACCCCCAAAAAGGGCATCAACTCAAAAAAGCCATACCGACATGGCCATGGGTCAAAACCCCGTACCCAGTGAACATCCCAAGCCCCATGTATACCAAAATGGGGGTGCACCTCATTGGTTTTGACCCACAGCCACATGGACCCTGTCCCGCCTGTCCACGGCCGGAACACGTGGCCCGCGTGGCCCACGTTCGCTTCCCGAGGTCCGCGTCGTTCCGCGGTGGAGGGCCGTGAGGCGGGGCAGTCCTCCACCGGGATCAAGACCTCGGCCGGAAAGGGGTCTGCTCACTTGCTGAGTGGATGGCCCAAAAAAAGTCCAAACTGTAGATTTTGGAAGGGGAGCAAACATGTTGAACACTTTAGCAGTTAAGTGGTTGGATTTCAACCACTCAACCACAATAAGCAAAGATGTAGAATGCTTCCCAACAACAACCATGTCTTGAGGGCGCCACTTTGTGAGGTGCAGGGGTAAAGGAGGTGCTGGAGAAAAAACGGGGCACTCCAGAATGTACTTGAACCCGGAAACAAGACCTCGAGGGAACCTGCAGGGTCCTCGTCAGCCGAAACCCATGGAAAACCCTCTCATGAATTGTTGGTAAACCAAGATGAATGCAACAGCTGTTGAAATCCCTGTAGGACAGTTCCGCCCAACCTTACAATCGGCATGCATGCCCCCTTTCCTGAAGTTGATGCTATGAAAGGGTGGCTAACAACAACACATTGACTTGATCCAACAACACCCCACGTCTTCATTTGTTTAACAATCACAGCTCATTCAAATGCCAAATTAACAAGCAGAAGAAGCGCTTTCCAACCATGCGTGTTGGGTCCCAGTTTCAAGACCCCCTTGCCACTGGATGATTGGCGCATATCAATTTGTTGCCCTCAGGTCACAGGGCAGGGGCGGAGGAAGTTTTTGAGGGCTGAATAAAAGCTATTTTGGGCTCCGCCCCCTTCCCCTCCCTCCCAAGCCCCATAATTAATATAATTAGGGACCACAGGTTGACCGAATGATTTGAGACCAACCCACACCAAACAAAACACCCGACCAACCATCACTTTTGGGCAAGGACTAAGGGCTTTGTTCACCCATGACAAAACGGGTCCCGATTCACGACCTCTTTTGAGCTGGTCCCGCCATATTTGATTGTGTTCTTCTTTGGGGGGGGGCCGTCAAAGTCAGAAACTGGCGGCGGTTTCCCATTAGCACCGAGGTGACTTCGATAATCGTAAAACGGGTGTCGTTTTGTGAGGGTACCCTTGTTTGGTAATCTATTTTGGGGGGGTCCAACATAGAAAAACAGTCAAGCCCAAGTCGTGTGCCCAGTTCCAACTCTTAAAATTCAGATGGCCACCGCTTGCCCCTCTGCCCCCCTCCGGCGCTCGGGTTCGCGCCGACTCGCAGCTCTGTAGGTGTCTGGGGGAACGCCTCGCGCATGGGGCCCAAACACGCGCCGCCTTTTGGTTCTAACGATGGCATCTTTGGTAGCGGCTCGTCCCCTTATAACCACTCCAATACACCTGGAAAATCCCTTTGACTTACTTTGGGTTTCAAGTACACCACAACCCCAATCGAAATTGAGCATGTACTTTCAAGCACCCTTTAAATCAAAGGATACACATTTAGGCCGCTTGAGAAAGGAAGCAAACACTTTAGGTTTCAAGGATGCTCTTGTCAATCCAGCGGTTACGGTCACAAAAGCCATTTTTAGCTGTATGAATTGCAAAAAGGGGAACCCCCTCAAAGTCCAGCGGCTTTTGGGGTTCATGTAAAGGCCTCCTTGGGTCATTAAGGGAGCCGCCCAACAAGGGCGTCGGTGTTCCTTTCCCCTTTCAAACGACTCCATTTCAAAAACCCTCGCAAAACCAGACATCCCCCCGCTTCTCAGTTGCCAAAGAACCCAGAAACCAAAGGTGCTCACAAATTTTGGGGGGCAGTTTTTTCCAAGGACCCCCATATCTTTGTGGCCACGAAACAATTCGACCGCACAGCCCGTCAGATCTCCCTCCGGCCGATTCGGGGGCTGAGATCCGCGCGGAGAAGGCTCGCCCTGCCAGCTCGTGAGGCTCGCTAAGGTGCCGGCGCGCCGAGGTTCCTGGGACGAAAAAACACCGGCCTTAAAGCGGTCCGTGTTTTTTCCTGTTTTTTGTTTCTCCTGTTTGTGATATCATTTTTTTGTTTTTCAATATATATATATATATATTTTTCGGGAGTCGTTGTTTTGGCTGGGATCTGAACCCCAACTTGAGTGGCCCGGCCAGGTCTTGTACTATCCGAGTAGCATAGCGCTTCTCCCTCCCGTCGCCTTTTTGGTTGGATTGAAGGAGCGATATATCGCGGCAACAAGGAGAACAGAAGGAAAAAAGCGACTTGCTGGGAAGGATCGGAGCAAACTGCGACAATTCACACGCCGAAAACAAGGACTCCCTAAGTGGGTGTGTCTTTCTTTCCTTTTCGTGATTTTGAATGGGGATCCCTTTTCGGATTTGGGGATTCATGCCCATTTTGAGGTGCCACTGCAAACTCATAGCATCATTTAAACCTTTTTGTTGTCAAGGAATTGGACTTGCTGGTTCTCAGCAGGGAATGAGAAATGGAAGGACCCCTATACGCCCTCCCCCTATGGGTTCCTTTATTTGGGAATCCCCTTCCGGTTCATGCCCAACACCCGGACTCAGATCTTCCTTCCCTACCTCTCGCGGCAAGTGGAGCAACCCCGCCTGGTTGACCTCATCCAGCTCCAGCTTGGCCACCATGGGAAGCGGCTCCCGCAGCTTGTTGAGCCAACGCCTCGGATCTTTTTTGGCGGCGGTGTGCGATTCGAAGGCCGTCGGAAGGCGGTCTGGGGTGAGAGATCGTGTGAGGTTTGCTGTTTTTTCTTTCCGGGGATGGCCAAAAAGCGCCAGTTTCCGGGGCGATTGTTGTTGCCCACGAATGGCTTCTGCCGGTTCTGCAGTCTTGCTTCAGAAACCCGGCTCCAGCTTCTGCTGCCTGAAAGCACTGCGGTTCTAAAACAGAATGGCTTCGGCATGGCAACAACGCTGGCTGCGCCGAAGACGGCGGAGGCAACATATTGGATGTCGAAACGAATCCAATTGGGCCCAAGCACTGAGCCAAACTGCCTTCCTTTGGCGATACCCTACGTTGTCACGTTTCGGGAAACTCGCCGAGCTCTGCATTTTTGGTTGAACGGGCACGGGAAAAAATAACTCAAGTCCTTGGGCGTCGCCCGCACTGCGGCTTCCCTGCACCTAAGGCGCGGGCTCTACATCTGCAGTTTCGAGTTCTAAGCAAATAAACTCAAGTCGGTTGAACACCCAGGCCCACCAAAACCCCGAGCTGGAGTTGGCTTCGGGGGGTTCCCTCGAGCGGTCAGGAGAGCCGATTGATTTCCGCAAACATGACAGCAGGAAACTCACAGGCCCCTGTTGAATATATATATATATATGGTACCCCCCCCCCATGGACCCTGGTTTGGTGCGGTTGACCTGTATTTTCCAGTGTTTGATGCTTCTTTTTGCTTCTTGGATTTGTGTCAAAATTGGGGGGGGGGGGTCATACATGTATATGATACGCATGCATGCAAACAAATGTGATAAAAGCAATGACATCAGCACCTGCAATCTGAAAGAGTTTGAATGCATCCAAAAATACAAGAACAACTCAGACATGTTTCATAATTTTTATAAAAATTATGGGATTCAAGATTCAAGATTCAAGAATGTGAGAACATATTTTGTGGGAATCTTGAATCTTGAATCCCATATTTTTTAAAAGTTTTTAAAAATTTCTAGATTCAAGATTCAAGAATCTGAGAAAATATTTTCTGGGAATCTTGAATCTTGAATCTTGAATGTTGAATCTTGAATCCCATAATTTTTAAAAACAAGTTTTAACAATTCCAGGGTTGTCCCAATACTCTCGGTGTTCAATAAGATTCTCGGAAAAGTTTTCCGTGAAATATTTCAATCCAGTGGTAACGGATGTTCGAGGTGATAGAACAACTTAAACATTTTAGCGGTTGACCAGGATGGATGATTCTCAGGAAAGTGGTGGTTTGTGGGCTCCTCAATATTGAATCCCCAATCCAGTGGTAAAGCACTTTCAAGTGTTAGAAGAACTTGAATGCTATTTGGGTTTGGCCAGGATTGACAATTCTCAGGAAAGTTTTCTGTGTAATCTTCAATCTTGAATCTTCCATCCGATAGTAGCATATTTTCAAGTGCTTAGCGATCCAGTGGACACACTTTCAAGTTATTGGTTAGACAAACTTCAAGTGCTTTTGGTGAGCTTCATGTCAGCTATGCTCATGTTGACCCCTTTCCAGGAGGTAAACAAAGGCAGGTGTAACGCTCAAAAGTACTGTATTTTCCAGTATTTTATGAGGAGGCGCAGGATCATTGGGGGTACTATGTATGTGTGTATGTATGTGTATATATATAGATATATTGTACGTTCACACACCGTCCCCCACCCTCTTGAACTACCTGTCCACATTTGCTCATCTACTACCTCCACCTTTTGAGATAGAATTAACTTTCCTGCGCAAATAGAACTTTAAATACAACGGTTTAGCTAGAATCCCTGGTTCGAGATAGATTTAGATGTTGAACCTCTCTTCCCTTAAAATTTCCTTTTGGAACACCGTCTAACAAGTTCAATGTCGGACCTTTCTTATGCTACAAAAGGGCCAGAATGTAAATAACACAAATCTTATTTTGAATTTCCAAATGTTTAGCCATATTTAATATGAATTATATTTGAGATGTAGTCTCTATTCACTTGATATTATCAAAAGCAAATTGAGTTGTGTTTGTCTTAGATTATATTTACCATTTGGATTATATTTGGGAAAACCTTCCATCTAACTTCTTGTGTTATAGATTAGTTGGAGTTTAGCCGAAAATATATATTTACAATTTCATGTAGCTGCTATTTGGGAAGGATTTGCTTGTTTAAGCTGTAATTGAACATAAACACATGTTTGAAAACTATTTCCATACTAAACTATATTCAAAATTCCAATTCTAGTTGAAGTAACATCTTATTTGGAAAGGGTATCATACTGGGACATTGTGGAGGACTCCGGGCTCCAAATTATCACGCTTTGGGGACCAACAATTGGAAATTTCGAGAATATCAATTTGGAAATTCTAGATTTGCCATCCCCAAAAGGCAGTAAAACCAGGGTCCATGGGGGGGGGGGGGTTGCATATATATATATATATAAATATATACGTACCTCCACCACCACCACAACCACCACCACTGAGCGCCTGGAGGAACCCTGGTTAACAATTGGGGTTCACATTTTGCGGGGGGGGGGTAGCTCCCCTGACTAATTCATTGGCAAACCTATGAATGCACATTTGAACAGCAATTGTCCCGTTCCTCTGGGTAGCTTCAGGTTGCAGGCCATATTTTTTTCATGGGAAACATCCCCATAGGCCCTTCTCAAAATTTGAAGTCAGGGTGTTGAAAAAGGCCGTACTGGTTGAGCGCCGTTTTTCTCACCCGTCTGACTCTATTGCTTCGAGGCCAAGGTCTTCACCGGCCGCAAACCCCAAGGCCGACCCCGCAGGCTACAAATTCGATTTGGGGCTTGGCCAAATCTTGAGAATTGGGCGCGGAGTGGTTCAGCTGCGAGCTCGTTTGGCCAATTACTGGCCGTCTTAAAAACAACAAAAAACACGCACACACACACACACACACAAAAGCCAACATTTTAACAAAACCATCAAAAAGAAACAAGCAAACGCAACTCAGGGAGTGTGGTTCGCGCTCACCAGCGAACTGGCCCAACCCGAGAAGCTTGGGAAGTTCAAGGGGGGCAATAACAGGGGAGGACCTCCCCTGTATAGATGGCAGCAAATGGGTGTGTCTTAAAATAGGGGAGCCCCAAACTGGCGGAGTTTCCGTGGTTCTCCCCTTTAAAACCATCCGAAGGGCAAACCTCAACCCCAACTGCCGTATGAATCTTAATTAGGTACCCAAACTAGTGGACATAAGAACTCGGCGGGTCTCGATTCATGTCCACTACCGTGGATGGACACACTCCGTTCGCACCATTTTGAAACCATGGTTAAAGCCATGTGGGTGTGGCTCAAAATTAAACAGGAGGGGTTACGCAGGTTTTGGTCCATGTTTCCACTTGCCAGGGTTCCATTTTGGTACCTGGTTTTTTGAGCCACAGCCATGTGTTTGTATTTTCGGGGGGAAATCCCAAACCAGGGTTTCTGATTCCGGTGCCTGAAATCCCGGATGTCGCAACCATCCGCAGTAGATTAACTAGGTCCTCCAGTAGAGAGGTTAGAATCAGGGTACCCTTTCTTCTGTAGTCTATTGTAGTAGGGGAACCCTCCCCAACAAAAAAGTAAACCGGGCTTCATGCAAAGCCCACCTCTGCCGAGCTGCTCCACCACCTCGCTATCCTGGCGCTCGAACTCCGTCGTGACGTTGTGAAAGGAATCCTACGGCGAGTCTCGAGTGACGATCTCGGAAAAGGCCGGAGATCTCGGAGAAATGTCCTCTCCAAGAGCCGCCCCAAACGGAAACACTCACTTTAAACTAGCCAAGCTGATGCACACACCGGGCCTTCTTTCATGGTGGGAACTGGGTTGCTTCCAGCCCCCCCGACGAGCAAACGGCCCTTGAACCTTTTTTGTAGGTTTACTGGAAAAATATGTTTCCAAAGGCCCCTTTGGGGCGATTCGGTCACACCAAGGACCGGCCATGGAAATACTCCTTTGCTTGCCAAAGAGGGAATCAAATCCAATTCCAGCGTTGTCACTTGAAATGGAACTCCCTTGTCCCGTGAAATCTGCAAACAATTGTCCAAGGCAGTCTTGACTGAGCCCTGCAAGAAGTGATCACTTGTTGCTTGTTGAGATGAGATAACTAAGGCAAAAAGTCTCAAAAGGTAAGCTAAGTCTGGCAACGTTGAATCCAACGCTTGTTGAACTCAAAGGAATCCATGTCGGGCCCGGCGAACAGGTTTTCAATCATTGAGCAAGAGCTAGTGGCTAAAGCAATAAACTTGAGGTTCACACCAGCTCATACATGTGTCATGCTCAAGACTCCCTTTGTTTGGCCGATTGGGTCATGGTTCCCTTGATCGGAAAAACGTTATAGTGGTTCTTTTTCGCATCACGATGACCATCCCAACGTTAACCTCAAGTACAGGAACTGGTTCTTTGAGGATAGCCTCAGAAAAACGGTTGATCGGTTGATCGTGGTCTCCTCTCTGGGAAGTTATAATCCGTTGCTGGCAATCTCTAATTCTGTCCATCCCCACCGCCCCTAAGAGGTCTGAGGTCCGGCTTCTCTTGGGTCAACTTGTTTGAGGGTACTTTGTGTGTGTTTTCCAAAGAATATAATAATGAACTCAAATAAACAAATAAATACGAGTACATAAATAAAGAAAGAAATAAGGGAACCAAAAGAGAAGCATCAATATTGATGGTCTCCCCAATTTACCACAAACCTTCTTGTCTTTGCCAACGGGGCGCTTTGCTCGGTCTGAAAAAGAACACTCCCGGCTTCAATGTTCCACGAAGATGGAGCCATTAGTCACTCGCTTGGGAAGCAAACCCTGCCTTTTGGGAGAGTAAACCAGCCCATTCTATCCAGGGGTCTCTGTTCAAGAAAAAACTGAGCAAGAACCAGAGACGCTCGGTGAAGACACACACACACACGCAAATCTTTGACCCAAACGGTGCTGTTTACATTGCCCGCTGAGGGAGATTTGGGCGTGTTTGTTTTTTGTCGGTGGCCAGGAAGTTGGAAAACCAGTGACCCTGCCCCTTTTTGCTTCCCTTGGGGAACTGAAAATACTGTGGATGGACGAAAACCTTCACCACCTAAGAAACCCTGGTATGATGACTTCCCTGCAAAGACCAACCAACAATGATTTCTCATGGTTTCCATGTTGTGCGAACGGATTTCGTCCATCCGCAGTACGGTCTGTGATCAGCAGCCACGCAAACACCCTTGGGCTTCACCATCCTTGGCGCCCCCACCGATGACCCGCCGGCCGTTACGAAGAACTCCTGCACCGGCGCAGGGTCCTGCACCGTGCAAGCGAGGATGAGCGCATGGATCGAACGTGCGCATCCTGTGGATGGTTGCGAAATCCATTTCACGCCACCGTTCAGAAACCCTGGTATCATGACAATGATTCCCTTGAAAATAAACAAATCTTATGGTTTCAACTCCGTGGTTTCATTTCGTGGTGCGAAATGAATTTCGCGACCATCCAGAGTACCTTTAACCTAGACTTACTTGGCCTAGGGCGGTTGACACCGAACAAAAAAGGCAGGCCCATCCTAGGTTGTTCGCAGGTCCCCTGCGAACAATGGAACCCCGCGCCAAACCCTCAAAAAGCCAAAAATCTCAGGGGACGGCTGGGAACCGCCAAGCTTCCGCGTCCGATTACAGGCAGATCTTCCTTCCAATAGCAAGGCAATGCAATGAGCGAAGGGAGCACCAGGCTTATGCCTTCATAGCAGGTTTTTTTGCGGGTAAAGGCCAGTGAATTTCAGTGCAGCTGTCTTTGCATGTGACTAATCGGGCAACTCAGCTGCGTTGTTCGAAAATCTTCACAAGCCTGGGTCATTCCATGCGCCGAAAGTAACCATGCCACTTTTCCTGTTCAATTCCCCCCAATTCGTAAGCCTCAGTCAAGGCCATTTCGCAGGTATGGATGCACCACCAGTACAAGCCTATAAGCCGGTAAGGCATGTGCTCCCTTCAAGTGGTATAAAACCTCCATAGCTCCAATGGAAACGCACTTGACTCCGAATCCAGTGCCTTCAGACCCAATCGGACTCCACAAGGCCTGAGGCCTCGTAAGAGCATGGTCCTGCTTTAGATTGGCTTCAACGATGGGTTTGTCTGGCTTAGATTGGGTTGATGCCCTATTTACCAGCTCCCAGCAATTTTTCCGCAAGGTCACCTATGGCCAACTGCCATGGTAAGCCCGGCATGGGGTGTGGCCTTCAACCCATGCCAAATCTTGCCCAGAGAAGCTCTTGTCGTGGTTGTTTTACCCCATGAACAGGCGCCCTAAACTTGGGGCCATGTTTGATGGAAACCAGAAATCGGGGAATCCCATATTGTTTTGAATGCCTTTACCGACTCGAAACGCTTTCCCACGGGGCCAGCGAACCGTTTCTCTTTGGTGTGCTTTGGCAAGGTTTAGCTGTTGATGATTGATTGAACCAAAGGAAGCTTCGGCGATTTGGTCCTCCACAGAGACCAGCGAAGGACGCTGGACGCCTGCAGATCTGCCTGACGGATTTTTTTTTTTGGTTTTTTTTAAGAGGGAGATGTCATGAGGGCTGGGAGGAGGGGGGGGATCTGAAACAAGCCCGTATTCAGCCCTTAGAAGGCCTTACGTAGGTCCCCTCCCTCCCCCCCAGCCCCCATGAAGATGAGTGCTTGCACCAGGCTTTGTGAATACTTGGATAAAAAAAGTGGGCCATTAAAACTGTGGATGGTTGCGAAATCCGCTTCTCACACCACCGTTCAGAAACCAGCACATCACTGGTTTCTGCTGATCCTAAAAATACTTCAGCAGACGTTCTGGTTTCAACTGCATGGTTTCAACTGCATGGTGGCTGCCCTCAAGCCTCGTCACATGGCTCGTCTCGAAGAGTCTCTCTCAAACGCATCGGGCTGTCTCAAACGCATCGGATGATTAAACGGGAACCTAAAAAGAAACTGCATGGTTTTAGGGGATCCGAATTCTCAGAAACCACATGTGTCGACTGGTCACAAATTGGAAACCGCCAAGGAACACCTCCCGATCGGCTCAATTGCTCAATCTCAGCTCACTGAGAGACAGCCAAATGCTGTGAATTCGAAGGGGCCCATGGCGACATATGCTATGGAAATTCGTTTCAACCAGCAACCCTTTTTTGGAGGGTCCCAATCAAACTCAGAGCTATATGGCATATGGTTGACACCCTTTTTGCTTTGGCTGCAAAGGGAAAAACGCTGGACACCAGGCCCAAAGCTTCCCTTATTAAAGGCAAGAAGTTGGGTCGGCCGTACTGTGGATGGACGAAATCCTGCACCACCTAGGAAACCTTGGAAGGATGATTCCCCCGTACATGCAACGTTTCAGAGTAGTGCAGGGTTTCGTGCATGCACAGTAGCGCTTGCCAAAGAATTCCTGGACTCAAGGAAGCCGGTGATAAGAGGTGTGAAATAACTGGAATGGGAGTGGGGGTAGCTCAAAACCAGATTTCGTCCCTGATAGGAATAAGGAGGTCTTCATCAGGAGGTGTGTATCTCCAAGCCAGAAATGGAATCGAAAAATCGCTCGATGAGTTGTGGGGGTCAAAGAACAAAGAAACCAAAAGACACATTCCGGTGAGTCTTGCGAGTGTGCCAAGCGGCGCTCGTCACATGTGGTCCCATGGTTTGCCCGGCCAAAGGTAGCCTCAACCGATTTCCTCAGCAAAGGATACTGATTTCACTGATTTTGAGCCATGCCAATTTCAACCTTTCTGGTCCAAATGCATGTGTTGCCTTTTTATGGCTCAAAAGGGACACTAAAGGAAACCCACCACCTGGAGGAGTCGTTTTTTGGTTGAGAAACACCCATTTTCTTCGTGAGCATGCTGCCCCAAGCTCAAAGGCGAAAGCTGCAGCGAAACAGGACAACATGTGTGTGTGTGTGTCAAAGTAGGGGTCAAAGAAAGTGGTAAAGTGACTATAAATCAAACCTGGAACGTTGCTTCGAAAACATCTGACACAGCCCCTAGATTGAAAAAAACAAAAAACAAAAAAGGAAGTTGCGAATGACATGTTACCCTCCCAAGAGCGCAAACCAACCACCTGCACAGTCCTCTTTAAAGGAACCCTCACGGGGAAAGCCTTGAGCTAGCACCAGGCCGGCGCAACCCTTGGTTTGCCAACCGACCGACCCACCAGCCAACCAACCAACCAGGCCTGCCAGGCTGGAGGCCCAACCAACCGGCCAAAGGACTCTAAGGAACCAAGGCGGAAAAGGACTTAGAAAGCCCCTCAACACAGAGAAGGACACATCCAGAAACCTGAAAGTTGCATCTGCAAAAAAATGATTCGCCATGAACTAGGAAGAGAAAAGCGAGAAACCAATGGGATTCAAGTAAGGCGTGTGGAAAAAGCAAAAAAACGCAACAGCTCTCTTGAGTTCCCAACGTGGGAAAATTGAAAAAAATGGCTTCGCTTTGATGGGAAGCCGCAATTTCCAAAGCCCTGGTCGATTGATACAGGGTGCTATTAAAGAGGGAATCCTTCACTTCTTCCAGGAAACAATTCATGAAACCACCAGCTCCACTCCGAACTCAACATACCCAGCCCTTAAACCAGAAACCAAAAGCTACCCTGCACTCGTTTCCTCGCCAAGAAAAAAACCCGCCCCGCACCAGCGCCCCTTGCGGACGAAAGCTCCGCCTCCCGGCTCGGTGCGCCGCCGCTCGCGGAGCCGCCGCCGCTCGCGGCGCGGCGAAGCCGGCGGCGCACACGCCTGGCGACGGCAGGTAGGTCACAACCTGTGATACTGCGGATGGACGAAATCCATTTCGCACTACGTTGAAACTGTGGGAAAGCATTTGTTGCTGGAATCATCCTTCCAGGCTTTGCTAGGTGGTGCGAAATGGATTTCGTCCATCCACAATACCTGTGGTTAATTGAGGGGGGGGGGGGCGGGGGGAAGTTCAAGTTATTAGCCTAGCAGCAAGGGTTTGTCGTTTGCTTTCAGATTGGTACCATATCGACCCTCAAACCCTATTGGGTTTGCGTGGGCCAGTTGACACCGATTCTTAGGTTGAAAGGCAAGCCAGCCAATGTTTAAGCCCCCAGCCGATCCTGACGCATACCCCTCAGCAGAGAGCAGATGATCCCCAGGAAAAAAACGTAGGGAAGGTAATACAGGTTGATGACCCTGTGCCCGAGTCACTCTTTGACTGTTAGTTCGACCAAGGTCATACACGTTGAAAGACTGGCTTACCATAAACCCCATTCAGCTACTACCAAAACAGCCAATGTGTTTGTTGAGGAGGAGGGGGCATCAGCGGTTCTTGCGGGAAGCTTGGGGCAGTCTTAACAATGGGCTACCATATACTTGTGGACTTGCTCGCATTCAGTTTTAGCATTGTGGTGGGGCATTGGTGGTTCGTGTTCGGCTTAGCTGCGCTTTCAAAGTTACATGCTTTTCTCATTTTTTCTTTAAGTATTCTCCCGCCAGGTAACATGGAAACCACCAGAGAGAACCTTTTGGCTGGAGACTAACTCACCTAAACTTCTCCAGCTCCAAAGCCTCCGGCACAAGGGTAGAAATTTCGCGTCCTGGTTACGAGGGCCACTTCCCCTCAACCAAGATCCTGCTCCATGCTTCCTGAAACTCGGAACTGTGAATTGAGATATCACAAACAATCCCAAGCCCTTAACAAACATATATACGGCCTTAACGTTCTTAAGGGGATGGCAGGTGATAGCCCCCGGTCCTTATTTCCCCTCGAAAGATCCATCCCGTTCTGGTCGACCCATGCCAATGAAAGGCCTTCGGAAGGGGAGGTGCCCCACATACCTCGCACCGGGGTTCGTCTCAACCAGCCAACCAAGATTTTGTGCGGGTGTGCTTCGGTTTCCTTTTGAGAAGTGGTCCCTCCATATCCCATTTCCTCTGAATGGACCTTCAAAAGTGGCGACTTTGTTGGACACCGCCAGTCATTTCCAACTCTTAGGGGGAAAATCTGACCCCTGTGAAATCTCTCACAAGGAGACCCCTTACATGGCAGGCCCCTGCTCTGCCTCAGCCTTTGGTGGCAACGGCGTCAGAGGCGTCAGAGTCAGCGCGGCGCTGATATCTTCCGCGGGCGCGAAGCTCGGCGCCGAAGGCGAGGCAGAGGGCGCGGGCGCCTGGAGACTCGGAGAACACCAAGCCCAGTGCTTCCAGGTGGATCTTGCTGGCCTTTCTCTGCTGACTTAAAATAAGGGCTTGTTAAGACCCCCAAAAAGGCCCTTTTTAAGGGGCTATCCCTTATTCCAGGACGGGGGGGGGGGAGTCAGCTACAAAAATACTTAGACATACCATGAGCAGGGAATGAGAAATGGAATGACCTCTATAAACCATCCCGCTCGTGGTTTTTTGGAAAGGGAATCCCTGGGTTCATTCAACCGCATGTCCTATCGCCCCAGCAAGTCATGTAACATGCGGAAATACCCAGGGACTGCAAGCAATGGAAGCACCAGGGACCACTCTGTAACGCAGCTGGGCAGCGCCCCTTGGTGAAACCAAAAGGAACGAATTCTTTTGGGCTTTGGGCGTTGGAAACAGTGGCTACGTAAGAAAAACTATATAGTTGTGCGGCCCTTATTTCTGGGGCTGACCATCTTGCAAATCCACCAAACAAAACAAAATTTGCAAAAGTCCAAACAAGCCATCAGACCTCCAGTCCAGGCTCCATTAACAAACAGAACAAAAAATAATTCTGCACTCTTTTGGTTTGCAAGTGGACTTCTACAGGCAAAAAAGTCGTTGTTTTGGTAATGAGGTGCTCTGAGAAGACAAAAGGGGAGAACCCCCACAAAGATCAAGTCGAGACAATTGAAAATTCCCTGTCTAACCAACCCCCCTGCAATCCATGGACACCACCAGACCAACAAGAAGCAGCTAGTCGCCTAAGGAATCGGACGACTCCCTGGTTGAACCGCCAAGCAACTAACCCCCTCCCCGTAAGAGGGAAAAGTATGTATAATGTGCCGGGAAGAGGTCTGGGCATCAACATCACGCTGAGGGCTGGCTTTCAGGCAGATCTTGTAGGAATTGATTTCATAAAACTGCAAATCTTAGTCTGAGAAATTGGCTTCCAGGCAAATTTGGTAGGAATCAAATTGCAAATGTTACAAATAAATTCGTAAAATTTGCAAGGTAAAGAAAATATTATCCAATATTACAAATTTACAAATTCTAGTCTGAGAAATTAGCTTCCAGGGGAATTTGGTAGCAATTAAATTACAAATTTCACAAATTTTACAAATTAATTTGAAAAAATGTGCAAAATATCAAAAAATCTGGCCAGATGTTACAAATTTTACAAACTAGTTTGTAAAAAATGTGAAATATCAAAAAGTCTGGCCCAAAATTACAAATTTTACAAATGATACAAATTGATTTGTAAAATTTGTAAAATATCAAAAAAATCTGGCCCAAAATTACAAATTTTACAAATTCTAGTCTGAGAAATTAGCTTCCAGGGGAATTTGGTAGGAATTAAATTACAAATTTTACAAATTGTACAAATTAATTTGTAAAATTTGTAAAAAAGAATCTGGCCCCAAAATACAAATTTTACAAATTAATTTGTAAAATTTGTAAAATATCAAAAAATATGGCACTAAATTACAAATTTTACATATTTTACAATTGTTACAAATCAGTTCTTAAAATTTGCAAAATATGAAAAACAAATTCTCCAAAATTACAATTTTTACAAATTTTACAAATTCTAGTCTGAGAAATTAGCTTCCAGGGGAATTTGGTAGGAATTAAATTACAAATTTTACAAATTTTACAAATTTTACAAATTAATTTGTAAAATTTGCAAATTCTAGTCTGAGAAATTAGCTTCCATGGGAATTTGGTAGGAATTAAATTGCAAATTTGTAAAATTTGTAGTTTAATTCCTACCAAATTCCCCTGGAAGCTAATTTCTCAGACTAGAATTTGTAAAATTTGTAAAATTTGTAATGTTGTGCCAGATTGTTTTGATATTTTACAAATTTTACAAATTAATTTGTAAAATTTGTAATTTTGGGCCAGATTTTTTGTTACAAATTTTACAAATTAATTTGTACAATTTGTAAAATGTGTAATTTAATTCCTACCAAATTCCCCTGGAAGCTAATTTCTCAGACTAGAATTTGTAAAATTTGTAAAATTTGTAATTTTGGGCCAGATTTCTTTGATATTTTACAAATTTTACAAATTAATTTGTAACATTTATTTTTTGTAATTTTGGGCCATATTTTTTAATATTTTACAAATTTTACAAATTAATTTGTAAAATCTGGAAATTTCACTTTTTACACATGTACTTGCGAAATTTGTGAATTGCCCAATTGTTAACCATATTTGTTGGAATTTGGCATAGTTCAGAAACTAATCTGCAAAATGTGTATAACTTGTAATGTAACTCCAGCCAAATCTCCCCGGAAAGCACATTCCCCAGAGTACGCTTCAATGTCAGCAAACATCCGATCTAGAATTACAAGCTGGATTTGAACAAACATTGCTCGGGGGTTGCAAATTGAACAAGCTAGTTTGCAAAAAGTCGGTCCAGAATTACAAAAATTACAAGTACAGGTGTAAACATTGTAAACTTGATAAAACTTGATCACCGTCCTTCCCTTAACGGCTTTTTTTGGGTCAAGTTTGTTTCATTTTGAATCGGTTGAAGTTTGGTAAGGAAATGGGGAGGAAAGCATATTATCTTTTCATTTGGAATCTCTCTTTTCTGTTATTTCCATGTATTTGTTTTTCTTTAGGATCTCGAATTCATACTCCTTTCTTTATCTTTCACTCTCTCACCTGACCATTTCTTCCTACAATCAACTCAATAAACTAGGATGGAAAAGACAGGGATAAAGAAATAAACATAAGATAGGTAAAGGAGAGAGGACATCTTCTGTAACACGCTTCTTTTGGATAACTTCCATACCACACATACCTGATGGAGACAGAGATGGAGAAAACCGTGCAAACAGAAAGACATGGAAAGGCTGCGGGGATTGTTGGGATGGATTCATTTGTATCTCAGAGATTTTATCGCATACCAGGTTAGACCAAGCGATGAAGGTAAGGGAAAGGGAAAGGTGTGAAAGAACAAAGAATGATTAAGAAAATCTTCCGCCCAGACATCACGCAGAATAAGCCAGATAGCCTGTCCGTGAGACGTAGAGGATATGATGATTGAAGTTTCCTTCACTATCCCTTTCCAGCCTGTCTTTGGGGCCTCTTCCAAATCATTGTCTGTTTCCTCTTGTCCATCCATCCTCATCCTTTATTTGCATTTATGGATGGGCAAGAAGTGACGAAAGCATTTGCAGTCAGTAATAATTACGGTAGAAACGTAATATCCTCCCTTGCTTACAGAAGCTATCTAATTTATTACGTGCTAATACATGCTTCTAATCTTAAAACCATACTTACATTCCTCGTTCTTTTCTATTTTATTCTTCTCTTGTTGAGACTCATACGCTATCTTTCTTTGTGAATTCTTTTGGCTGTCCGGTCGTCTCTGGGGCTCACCGAAAGCAAAAAACATATGAGTAGGTCTTACTCATATTATTTTGCTTGTGTTTTACTATCTTTTGGACCTTTCATCCTTCCCCTTCTTATGTTTCCCTTTTCAACCGTTGAAGAATGCCAGAAATCGAGGGTGAAGGAAGGAGGGAGAAGCTAGCCCCCCGTTCCTTCTTCTCCAACTGTATCGCTAGTGGGGAGACGATAGGAAGGAGATGAACCGTTCCATCTTTACCTTTCCCTTCCCCACTACGTTCTGGAGTTCTGTCACTACAAAAGACTCACGATGGAACAGTCTAAAAGTGGGACGCAGGAAGGGGATATTGGCTTTATGTTTGGTTTATTTGTAGAAAAAAACACTTTCCACAACCGCTTCTTTCTGTAAAACACAGATGGAAAAAGATGACCTTTCCTTTCCCGGCCCAGCCAACGCTTGTCATTTTCCTTGCCTTGTCTTTTACATTGCCATGTTTTGGAAATGAAGAAGTAAAGCGTCTGGCAAGGAGGTAAGCGCCCATCAATACTAATTGAAGATAAAGAATTGGATGGGCACTTACCATGTCTTTCTATCACTTCTTTCTTTTCTTTTGATGAACTTGAAGATTGAAAATGGGAAGTGAGAAGCCTCTCTTGACTTCTTCCTCAAGCATAGGCTGCTGTTAATCTTATGCCGTGTGATGCTTGGGAAGAAGAAGAAGAGAAGATAGGAGAGGGTGAACAGAAGTAACGTGATTCATTCTTTTCCTCCGATCGCATCCTGAGATTCCCATGTATGTCACCCACCAACATCTTCAACCCATAAAGATTTGACTACAGAATCCTTAAAACCTGTTTAATAGCAAATGCTAGCGGTCTCTCTCTTTTGCTAATAATCTTCTCAATAACGGAGTTTTAGATCATAGGATGGTGTAAGGACTGGGTTCTTCTCATCGCTGACGGCCTTTCCTTGTCCAAGTCACGGAGGAAGAGAGGTTGGATTGTGGTCCCAAGAGCTTGTGTCCTTCCCTTTCTATCTCTTCCACTTCATCCAGGAAACATTTGTGGATGGACGTGGATGGACATGTCGTTATTAAGATCATTGCCTTTCGGTTTACCATCCCATTTATTGCTTGAATGTCTATCTTCGTTGTCTTCTATTTACAACACTATCTGAGAAGTATAGAAATGCTACTGGGTGTGAGGTTGAATAAATTGGCGATGCAAAGAAAATCACGATGGTTGGAACAGAAAGTTAATCATTACCAAGAATAGGTTCATAGTCTCTCCTCTGCTGGTTGCATTCTCATGTACTTGTTCACTTTGCAACCTTTCTACTTGTTTATCTATCTTCCCAATCTCTCTTTCTCTCTCTCGCATTGCAAACGTTAGAGGCATCTGGATGGGGGAAAAAACCCGGGGGGGTAACAACAAATATGAAGAAGAGGAACTGGCTAACACTCCTTCTGCTCTCCCGTCCTTCGCGGCTATCAGGATTAGTAAGAATTACGAAAAAGGCCTATGAAGAAACATAATAGATACGTAAATAAATAAGTAAATAAATCAATAGGAAAATGACAGAACCAAGAACATAAAAGTAATAAAGAATGTCAATAAATGAAACGGTTTATTGGGAGACAAATTATTCTTGTCCATCAAGAACCCTCTCCAACACAGTGAAAAACCTAGAGTGGACAATGATGGATATGATAGAAAACGCAATAAGATAATAAAACGCAGTAAGCTATGAGATTACAAAGATTCTGTAATTATTGCCCTTAAATTCACCCCGTGACCACTTCATCCAATCTACACAAATATATTGGAGAAGATATTAGTGCATGATGAAGAATAAACGCAAATTATAACCATAGATAGTTTGCTTGACACTGAAGAGGCTGTTAGTCTTTACTCATGGAGTTTATTTATTTGTATCTTCTTTCTGCTTTTGTTCTATTAGAATTTCCTTGCAAAATCTCTCACTCACTTCCTATCTTATCCTTAGATATGTGCAAAATTCTTGAGCTTTAGGTGAGAATGAAAAGGATATGCATAGTTCAAAGTTGCTGGAGAAGGACGGAACACTATTTACGAAAGGCTATCTATTTACTAGAATCTCATGAGTAATGTTAACTAATTTGTATCGATTGGGGTTCATTTCTCACCTTCTCTTTTAATGGGTTTCCTTTTGCCTCCCAAGCTAATACTTGTCAAATCCTACTGAATCAATCTTCACTAACAAAATCATGTTAATCGCTAGAAGTGACCGAAGGAAGTTAATAGTGTTCTCATCAGAATATTGCCTGTCCAGAAAGAGTGATGAATGAAGAGACGCTTAAGTGTTATTATTGCTTAAGTGACGTCTCACGGACAGACTACGTCTCCAGACCCTTTTTTATATCTCTCTGATTGTTCTTTCTTTTTATGTTTGTTTGACCAGCATTTGTTTACTATTTACTTCTTCCTCACTGACATTCGATCTTCTCTAACTCTGTTATCTATTACTGTGGCTTTAATCATTTGATTAACATTTTCCTCTTTGCATTTCCATGCTCTATCTTTGTGAGCTAGCAAACGTTTAATTTAGAAAAGATATGGCAGTGATAGATAGGAGGACACCATTATTTGTTTCCATTAGTACTACTTCACGAGGTATACCGTGTGCTTTTATCACACTCTCTCACAACCAAAGAGAGGATGTTCATCTGGTCTTCATCCTTTTTTCTATTACTACAAACTAGCTGGTTCTTTCAGGGTGGGGCATGCCAAGACATTCCTTTCTACTCTTGGGATTGCACCAAAAGAGTCCATGTGCAACAGTGAGCCGTTGTGCTCTTGAAGGCGCGCGGCGGCACATTGTACGTAATCTTCCCTGCCACACCCCCTCCCCCTGTCCCCCCCCCCTCTCCCCCTCTCCCCCCCCCTCTCCCCTCTCCCCCCCATCCCCCCACCCCCCCATCCCCATCCATCCCCCGCATCGCACCGCCCGCCTCGGCCGCCGCGATGGAATTCTCCGAGAGGATCCGGCGCCGCGCGAGCCCGGGCTCCGAGGTGAGCCGCGCCAACTCCAGGCCGCCGCCTCGGAACCGAGTCCGGAAAACCGCTCCGGAGCCGGTGGAAATCCACCCGGGGGTCTCCGGGTCTCAGAAGAAACACGCAAAAAATGGGGAGGAACTCGACCCCCCACTGAAAATTGGGTGTTGCCTCCCCAGGTTTCACAAAAAAAACAGGAGGTACTCAACCAAAATGTGTGCTGTATCCGGGTATGAAAGGGAAACCCAAAGGACACCAACCGAGAAACGCCGAAAAAAGGGGGAAGCTCCCCGCCAAGAAAAAACATGCACCACAAGCGGGTGGCTTTCCCTCTAAGGTTTCGGCAGCCCTCAAAATTGCGGTTAAAACAGGTCTCCCTTCAAAAGCTAGCTTTTGAAACAGGTTTCCCTTCAAAAGCTAGCTTTTGAAACAGGTGTCCCTTCAAAAGCTAGCTTTTGAAACAGGTTTCCCTTCAAAAGCTAGCTGTTTCTAGCGGTCTTACCATCTTTGGACGGTGGCGACATCTAGGGGTCTCCCTCAGTTCCGCCAAGCCGCCGATCCGGCTCCACGCCGCCGGGGAAATGGAGGGCCAAGGGCCCCCTGCAGCGAATGGGCAACGATCAGGTGGGGGCTCATATATATATATATATATGCTAAGACCCAATATATATATATATATATATAACATGTGTAGATATGCATATATATATATATATATATTCATATTCAATATATGGGTTGATTTTAGTTCGGGACCCTTTGGTGGACATCATTTAGGTGGGGATGTATGTCCACCAACCGCTTTAAAGCAAATATATATATATATATGCGTAGAATATGTTTGGTGTCTGTGTTTTCAAAACATATCTCCTTGCCTCCTAGGTGTGTTCGGAAAGCCCTGCGCTCAGGTTACTTTTTTGGCACACCGAGAGACTCTGTCTTTGGTTCCAATGTTTTAAGCTGGA